TTGAAAAATATTTATAATATGTTATAATATATTACATATTATAACATATTATTCACAGTAATATATATTAATATATATACATACACAGTAATATATATTTTACCTTATGTGTTTATTGACTGACCGACTTAAGTGACATCACGTAGAAACTAGAAGAATTTAGGAATTACTAATAGCGTCATTAATTAAATTTGTAATAGACATAGTTTTACATATCCGATTCTTTTGATTTATTAGTCGAAGAAATGTCCTCAGTATTTTTTCCAAAAAACGTCAATGTGTTGCCTTAATTGTCCTTCTAGTTATCACTCAATAGACTCTTAGACCGCGCGCTATTGAAACACGTCATACTTTCTAAAATTGTAGAGGTAAATTTTTCCAATGTTTTACATATGTTATGCATTTAAATATTATCACTATAAGTATTATCACTATAAAATCTCTAGAACATAATATACATATAAATAAAACTATACTAGAATATAAACTTTTTTTTACGTATTTACTCTGTTTTGCAAGCGTTGTTACGTCAGTTCAATGTTTTGTCACTCCACAACTGTTATCACCTTAACTACTTATTGTTTTGTGTGTGTGCATGTGTGTTACTTTATTACTTAACTGTTTAAGCAAATGAACAAAAACGACTTGCATAATTCGCAAGGACAACTCGAAAGTGATCAAAATATTGCTTATAAAATTGTATATTTTAGATATAGCGGGATGGAGAGTCGGTTTCAGAGAGAGAACAAAACATCAGAAGACGAAATAATTGGACAGTTTCAGCAAAATAATAAGAGAAACACGATGACGCTAAACGTGAGCGGTCTGTGGGACGTAGGTCCGAGATTGGATCATTATAGGTATATTTCTAAATACAAAATGCTTTTTTTTCTCGGTTTTCTATTGTGTTTGAATGTCTTACAATTTTAATATAAAATATATTATATTTCAATTATTAGTTCAAATTTTAATATATATATATATATGTTTTTCTCTATAAAGGCTTTTTATGTTCTAATCAGTATATATTCTTATCAATATTACTATTTAGAGGATTTTTCTCTTAAAATAAGAAACTCTTCTTGGCGCCAATTTTAATATAAAATATATTATATTTCAATTATTAGTTCAAATTTTAATATATATATATATATGTTTTTCTCTTTTACTTTTTTCAATATATTGTGTTTATTTAAATCACAATATTGAGAAACTATTAGCTCTTTTGCGTACAGTGGTTCCAAATATTAAAACATCATTAATATGATTTTTATCCAGAAAAGATTTAATTTGATAAATTTGATGAATTTGTTTCGTCCATTTTTACGACATTATTTGTCACAGCAATTTCTTTCACAGATTAAGTCGTCGAGCGAAAAGACCATCTCTAAGCACTTTGCATGAGGGAAATCTCATAAAAGTAAGAAATTTCATTCACTTTAAATTCTTTATTCTATTTTACTTGCATTCCTTTTGTTATAATATTTTTTTGGTACACATTTGCAATAATATTTTTGATAGCCGATATGTTGTTTTTCTTTTGTTTTTATAAATGTATCAAATATGAATTTGTATCAATATAAACGTTAATAAAAATAGCAACAGTCGAATCACCATTTCACCACTTGATAAATAAATAATGCATTTTTTATAGAAAATTTTAATTATTATTTTTATTTTACTAGATACAGAGATATATTTCAAAAACTTTCATTATAAAATAGGCTACAACGACACAAAGCTTATCGGTTGAGTACACTTGAATATTCATCGATTTTGATTGGCTCGAAGGACGTATTCAGAATTTTGCTTCACGCGTTTAACACGAGTATTTTTACTGACAATTATCTCTATATTAATATGCAATATTATATATAAACTACTATTATATATAAACTACTTTTGTGCAAACATCTACATTAAAAGACATTTACATCTTACAGTCTATGATCAAATTTTCATCAGATTTTCAAATAATATTTTATTTAACTTACGCGTTAAAATTTACAGAAGTGTTAAAAGTTTGAAAATTATGTGTGGCATAAGTAATAATCTGAAAAAAAATATATATACATATAAGCAGAGAATGCAACTATTTTTTGAAACTTTCTTGAGTGTTAAAAGAGTGCTAGAATGTGATTCTTATACTCTATTTCAAAGAAACGATCGAAGGTGCAGAGATAACAAGAGGAAACTAGCTTATTACGTTTACACAGGAGTAAACAACCGTCTGACGAGACTAGGAGAACTCATAGAATTGATGAATAGAGTTCTTGTATACGTAATTAAGAAAATCTTTTAATTGTGTATTTTACTTTTGAAATATAAAGTTAAATGTTAAGTTAAATATTTTTTGTTAAATTAATATCAATATATATGTGATTTTTGAACAAACATTTATTCGTCATATTTTATTGCTTTGTCATATATTTTATTAAAATTCTCTTTAAATTATTGTTGATAACGTTTGCATTACGTTTGCATTCTGCATAAAAATAAGAACTCTAAAAATTAAAAAAAAATACTTACAAATTAGCGAAGATTAATTCGGTTGTGTAAACCAAATCGGCTACATATTTGTGCAAGATATTTTTTTTTTTTTTTTATTTAAAACGTGTAAATGAATAATTAATACACATAATTTGAATTAACTTCAATTAGAAAATTTTTTTAGGATGCTTAGTTTGCATCACATATACATATACAGATGAAATATCTACTTTATATGATTTATAGACGCGTTTGATCTAATTTTTTCAAACTGCGTTTCTCGTGGTTAGTAAATTTTAACAAGATGTATAATATTGAGTGGCATCGCATTTTGACCGACATCAAACTGCGCAACGTACATACGCACGTGTAGAATTTCGCCTCTAAATAAACACTGTTTCAGGAGGCCAACGCTGTCGAGGCCGGACAGGTCGGGAGCGTCGGCGGTCAACAGGGTCACGTCGGAATAAAATTAGGATGGATCCAGGGCGTCCTCATACCGTGCCTGCTGAATATATGGGGCGTTATGCTTTTTCTGCGGCTTTCGTGGGTTGTCGCTCAGGCTGGCATTCTGCAAAGCATCATCATTATCGGAATATCGGCGATTGTATGCGTCATTACGACGCTTAGCCTCAGCGCAATTAGCACTAATGGGGAAGTAAAGGGAGGTGTGTTACGGCAACGCATTCTGTAATTCTTTTTTTTTTCTGAAGGAGTGGCATCGCGCGCTACTGCTTTATCGTCCAATATACGGCCGTCGTTAGACGACCGCACGTTTTTCTTAAACGGAGGGAAATGAAGTTCTCAATATTTATTCAATTTGAAAAATCGAGGCGATTTGTCTTGTCGACAATCTCGATAGGCGGACAAATGGATGATTATTATTCACCCCTTCAATTTTGTTACATATTCTTTGTTTTGTTCGCAAGATTGCGCGTCATACGAAATGATATTGGCGTAGATCAGAGATAAAAAGTTCCATTTGAGAGAATATATCTTAGAAGATCTTTAAACATACGATATGATAAAGATTTTTTGATGAATAGTTTTTAAATCGATTGAACATAACAAATTAGCAATCTTAAAGATTGGAGATTTATTTATTTAATACATTTGATGACTTATGAATTTTTAACAAAATTATTACTCCAGCTATATTTATATTTTATATACGATATGAAGATCAACAATAAAAAATGTTCAATTTACAGGTGGAATATACTTTATTATATCTCGTTCTCTTGGACCGGAGTTTGGCGCATCGGTCGGCATTGTGTTTGCATTCGCAAATGCTGTGGCAGCTTCCATGAATACTATCGGTTTCTGCGATTCCCTGAACGATCTACTGAAAACATACGATTTGAAGATTATAGATAATAGCGTGAATGACGTTAGAATCATCGGTATAATAGCACTTATTGTTATGATTTTTATCTGTGCAATTGGCATGGAATGGGAATCAAAGGTATTAAATCTCTTTTTAATTTTTAAGAAAACTTAATGTACATATATCGAATTGCATTTATCCGTTATATACATTATACTTTTTTAATTTATTTTCATAATCAAAATCCAAGATGATTGATTTTTCTATTAATTTTGATTAGGCACAAAACTTCCTTATAGCTGTTATCGTGAGTGCGATTTTTGACTTTCTGATCGGAACCATTGTAGGACCACAAAGTGACGAACAAAAAGCGAAAGGTTTTGCAGGATTTTCGGGTAAGTATGATAATAATACTGCGATATACAACCTTGACAAAGTGACACTCTAATTAAAGTAATTAATAACCATTTATTGATTTAGTATAGTATAACATTTATTTTCATAAATATTATTATTTTTAGCGGAAGTATTTAAGAACAACTTTGGACCAGACTACCGCTACTCCGAGAACAACAATCAAACTTTCTTCTCGGTATTTGCCATCTTCTTCCCATCAGTCACTGGAATTCAAGCAGGTGCAAATATATCTGGCGATCTGAAGGATCCGGCGAGCAGTATACCGTTTGGAACACTCCTGGCTCTGCTGATCTCAATGTTTAGTTATGTGACTTTTGTCTTTTTTGCTGGCGCTGCGGCTACCAGAGATGCAGGTGATTTCGTGAACAATACTATTGTAGAATGTGTTCCTGGGATTAATTGCACTTATGGATTACACAATAGTTATGCGGTAAGATACTGAATACTGATATTTATAAACGATCAAATGAAACAATTAATCTACATGATCTTAAAGTTTTATATTAAAAAGTTATGAAAAAATAATAGTTTGATATTTTATTTACAAAGTTATTTTTATATTTATCTGTTTTTCTTTTATGCATGTGTTTAATTTTAAGGTAATGCAATTGATGTCTCTTTGGGGTCCGCTAATTTACGCGGGATGTTTTGCTGCTACTTTGTCAACGGCACTGACAAATTTGTTATCAGTGCCAAGGCTCATTCAAGCTTTGGGTCAAGATCGAATCTATCCCGGACTAATTTTCTTCAGCAAAGGATATGGAAAGTCGGGAGAACCTTATCGTGGATATATTCTCACGTTTGCCGTCGCGGCTCTATTCCTTTTAATCGGTGAAGTGTCTATGTTATATTTAAAAATTAATCAAAGGATATATAGCGTACCTTCTTGTTATCGTTATATCATGTAAGTTTTTAATTATTGAATTTTTTTTTTAGGTAATCTCAATGCGGTTGCTCCGCTGATCTCGAATTTTTATCTAGCATCGTACGCCTTAATCAACTTCTGCACTTTTCACGCAGCACTGATTCGGCCACTCGGGTGGCGACCTAGTTTTAGAGTAAGTGTTTAAAAATAATTTTTTAGTTAGTTTTTATAAATTTTCTAACTTATAACATCATATCAATTTCTCTTCTTTCTTTTTACAGTATTATAATACTTGGTTATCTTTAACTGGATTCATCCTTTGCGTTACGATCATGTTTCTTATCGACTGGGTGACTTCCCTCGTTACTTTTGTCATTATCTTTGCTCTGTATCTTATAGTGGTATACCGCAAACCAGATGTAAATTGGGGCAGCAGCACTCAAGCGCAAACTTACAAAACTGCACTTACTATTGTCTATAGGTACTATTGAAAAAATAATGTTATTTTGTAAGTGTATTTACAGTAAAATAACTCGACACACACACACATACATCCAGATAAAAATTAAAATCTATTTTCTATTTTAATAGGAACATCTTTAAGAAATGTATTTTTTTAAGCAATATATCTAAAAAATTTATGATTTTCAGATTAAATTCTATCGATGAACACGTGAAGAATTACGCTCCTCAAATTCTCGCACTTACGGGACCGCCTTGTGCAAGACCCGCGTTGATACATTTAGCAAATCTTATCACAAAGAATAATTCTTTGCTAATTTCTGGTGAAATCTACCCGGTATTATTTTAGTCTATATTATACGCTAACATTTCATGCTTATATTTCTTTTCTTTCTCTCTCTCCGCTTTGCTCTCTTGCTCTTGTTCTCGCTTTCGCTCTTAGTTACATAAAAAATAAAACAGTGCAATTTCAGACGACATTACCATATCGGCTACGTTCTGCACGTTTAAAAAACGGATATTCCTGGTTGCATCAACAACGGATAAGATCATTTTATCACATAGTAGAGGATTTGAATTTAGAACGAGGAGCCGCTGCTTTAATGCAAACTACCGGCGTTGGTAAACTGATCCCCAATGTAGTTCTTATGGGTTACAAAACACATTGGTCAACGTGCAATCATAAAGACTTACAAGAATATTTCAACGTTCTTCAGTAAGTGATCATCTACTTTAGACTTATAGTTAGATTTGCAAACGCTTATCAATTACAAATGTGACATTTTTTTAGCAATGCATTCGATCACAAATTGGCTGTAGCAATCCTGAGAATTGCTGAAGGTTTGGACTGTTCTGGCATTACGAATATAAATGGAGAAAATGATGAACACGGGCCTCTCGCGCAAAGTAGCTATGATTTGGCAGGAAATACTTTGATGCATGCTGATAGCGATCTCTCCATGAATTCGCAGATTCCCAGAGTACAAAGCGTGCCAACAATAGGTAAAATGTTTTTATAAAATCTACAAGTATTGTACATGTATGTTTTGTGTGTGTTTGTGTGTGTGTACAATTATGTATAATAAATAAGATAAACAAAATTTTAAACTATAAAAATATATTAAATGTGTTAGATGTTTATTTCAGTTTGATATTATTTTTTAGGTACAACATTTGTCTCGTCCACGGACATGTGTCCCGTGACACATGTAATCAAAGATTCTTCACTACATTGGAACGTTCGAGAGAACCTGAAACAGAAAAAAAAACGTGCTGCTGAAAAATTGCTGTAAGTAAACAATATCAAAAAGATAAAATAGTTTTAAGTTAAATTTAAAGAAAAATATATATTTGCAATTATATCTTCAATTAATGTTTTTTACGGGCAAAAGATTCTAAAATTAAATCAAATTGTTCTTGATATTTGTCATTAATAATTGATTATTCGTCATTTTAGCGACAAACGCAATGGTATGGCTTCCATACCAGAAAATATGACAGTTTTTCAGCAGAAGCATAAGAAAGGAACAATCGATGTGTGGTGGTTGTACGACGATGGAGGTAATTCATAAAAAAAAATGTACTCGCGAGTGAACAATTGAGATACATCGAGTATTACTGTAGATATGCGTTATCTCAATTGTTCATAATACACTAAAATCTTTGGTTCATTTGTAAGTGGCGAAAGTTGTTTGGCAGGTCTGACGATTCTCCTCCCTTATATAATCAGCACACGGTCTAACTGGGAACATTGCAAGATGAGGATATTTGCTCTGGCCAATCATAAACAGGATATTGGTGCGCAAGAAAAAGAGTAAGCATGAAAAACCTAAAATATATTACGTTATATTTTATATATTATTTAATATTAATTATTATAAGTTAAATTACTACATATATATTAAATATCATATAGAATGGTAGAGATAATGTGCAAAGCTCGAATCAAGTACACCAGTCTGAAGATGGTAGACGACATCAGCGTCGAGCCAAAACAAGAGACGCAAACTTTCTTTGACAAATTAATATCTAACTTTCGAACAAATGGTTCTTCTGAGAATTCTGGTACGTTATTGAGACAGTTTCTGATGTAATAAAATATATCTGATATGCATTAATGCAGAACTGTGTTATTAAATATAATAACACAGTTATACTTCGTAGTAATATTTAATAGCTATTATTTTGTTTTAGAAAACTGTTATGTCACTGATCGCGAACTTCAGACTTTACGGGATAAAACGCATCGACAATTGAGATTGCGAGAATTATTGTTGGAGAACTCAAATCAGTCCACTTTAGTAGTTATGTATGTATAACAAACTAGTAAACTTTGTAATTCCTCGTATCTACACATTTTTTCCATTTATATATACATTTTTATAACAAAAAATATTTTTAATATATTGTGTTTACTATTAATCAAATTTTCTATTTTCTTCTCATAACTTCTATGTGTAAAAAATATTTTATTATAAGAAATTACATCTATATATTATATATTCTTTGCTATGCGTGTAGATTACATCTAAAAGATTTTATTTTATTGGTCTTCAAAGCTATTTTGTAATGTGCAGGTCTTTACCGATGCCAAGAAAAGGTGCAATTTCGGCACCGTTGTACATGGCCTGGTTGGAGGCACTCACAAAAGATATGCCACCCACGATTTTGGTACGGGGAAATCACACATCTGTGTTGACGTTCTACTCGTAGCTATGTAGATTGTTTTCGATAAATATATATATATTTTACTCGAAACATTTTATACAAACTTCCATTAGATGTTCATTAGACGCTACATGTTATGGACGTCCAGTAGATGTCTAATGAACATTATGTCTGTGTAAGATATTAGCTATACTACAATGACTCGCATAAATGCTGATGTGATCACGAGAAATTTGTCTCAATATGTTGAGAAGCAGTTAGTTTTACATGAACGCACAGTGTATTTAAAACATTTATGCCAAAAGATCCAATGCCTTAAAGCCGAAACACAGACTTTTGCATAACGCATAACGCATAAGACATAAGAAAACCAACCAATCCAGCTTTTCGTTTTCATCCCTACTTCTTGTTCTAGAAAGCTTTGATTGGTTAATTCTCTTATGTCTTATGCATTATGCGTTATGCAAAAGTTTGTGCTTTGGCCTTTAACGTACTCTTGTATTTTATACTTGCACTTAAATTCGATACACTTCATAATATTTAATCTTATAATTGTAGATATGTTTTTTGTAAATTAGAGTTAAGAATCTTATAAATGTAGTAAAATATTTCTGGTACCTGTAGAACAATATTTCCCAACTATTTTGACTTGCTCAACTATTTAATATAAGATGTGTTATTGTTAAATATTTAAGTATATAATTGAGTCGATGTGATTGCAGATAGAGCGAAATGCATTATAACTTAATTATTTTAATCTTATATTAACTGATAATATATATATAAAATTTATTAAGAGTTAAATTACAGTTGAGGTGTAAAAGATTTGATAAATATAAGAAGTATTTATTTGATTATAATTTATTTATTGATTAATAATAAATCTATATACATATGTGTGTTTTTTAAGTTAATACTTTCGGACTTTTTAAAGAGACAGTACGCATCGGTTCAATTATAACGATAGAGCAAACATATTAAGATTTTTAGATGAGAATAATAGATTGAAACAGCAAACATATAATACAAAATCAAATTTAAATAATCATAAATAAAGAATTGTCAAAAACGTATATTAAACCTAAGAAAGATAAAAAAAATCTATAATGTACACATCTAATTCAGATATTTTTCTTTAATGTAATAATGTAATATCCTTTTTCGAGTACAATTAGTACACATTGTTATCATGTTGGGAAATACTGTGATTAGCATGAACTGTATTTAATTCAATTATATTTTTTGCAAAAAATATGTAAAAAGTAACATTAGATAATCGATGAAACTTTAACTAGCGTTCGAATTCATTTGATTCAAGCAATTGCTGATTATGGTTTTAATCGATCGGTTTTATATAAACTTTGTTTCCTACCGAACTGTGTCGATAGTGTATAGACGACTTAGTAACAAACTTAAAAGAAAAAAAATATATATATATGTATATGTATATACACATACTTGAATTGGAAATTGATAGCGATCTCAAATATGTGTATATATGTATATATAATATGTGTATATATTATACGTGTGTGTGTGTGTACAAGCTACATCTATGACTGCGTTACACACACACACACACAATATAAATAGTTTTTTCTATATAACTTTTTCCACACATACATAAATTTTATAATAAATATTTAAGACAACTTACACAGTACAGATGTGATCTTGACTCATTAGAACATTGATTTATTTTATATAAGGTAAAGACAAAATGTGTATATTTGTCATAGAAAAATATAATATACAAAATATAATAGACTTTTAATAAATAACCTACATTCATTTTAATAAAAACTCTCTTTTATATATTATTAAAACACATGTTTTAAACATAATTTTTATTACAATTACTTAAGAGATTCGGCTCTAGAAGTTTAAAACTTAACAATAATGTGAACGGTAATTGAGAGCCTTACATTGAATATTCGTTGCGAAATTAATATATACAGGGTGTCTCATAATTGCCGTTTCACCGCTTGTAGGCAAGAAGAAGGGGTTATTCTAAGACAAAAAGTCCTATACCACTTTGGAAGATGCACAATAATTAACGAGATATGAATGAATAAAGATCCGCTAATCAGCGTGCATCCAGCGTAAGAGGAGCGTAAGGACAGTCTAGTCTTTCTCGCGGATAGCGAGCTCCCTGAACGCAGCTTATATGCTGTTTATGTATAGGTGCACATGCTATTCTACCAGCTCCTCCCATTCCACCGCAACGGCGCGTCCGCGCGAAAGACTAGGCTGTCCTTACGCTGGATGCACGCTGATTAGCGGATCTTTATTAATTCATATCTCGTTAATTATTGCGAATCTTCCAAAGTGACATAGGACTTTTCGTCTTAGACCTTCTTCTTGCCTACGAGCGGTGAGACGGTAATTATGAGACATCCTGTATATTATACATACCTATATATATGTATTCATATCTTTGTGTATTCATTTCGCTTCGAACATCCAGCGGCTTTTAATGACCGTTCAAATTATTGTTATAAGTTTTATTAAATAATCTTAGTTTTTACTAAAAACAAAATTTTTAAATTTTTGTTGTGATTTTAAACCTGATACAGTGCTGTTTAATAGCAATTATTGATACAGTATAATAAAAAAACAAAAATACTTTTTTAGAAAAGATATTCTTAGAACACAACATTTAGAAACATTGTGTAATTTTCTTTGATAATGTAATTTATTTATGTAATAAGCCTGTATAATTACATGTATATTACAATATATATATTTATGTTGTAATTATACTTTTATATAAATGTTTTTTACATGTAAAAATGTTTTTTATATGTAAACAGATAAAAAATTATAAATATATATAATTAATATATATAATTTAAATATACATAATATAATTATAAATATATATATGTATATATACATATATATATTTATAATTTTTCATCTGTTTACATATAAAACACATTTTTACATGTAAAAGACATTATATGAAAATATAATTGCAACCAATGATTATGATACATTTTTATATTACTTGTTGCACTGTGTCTCAAAAATCTGGTTAAAAACTGGCTGAATATGTTCTAGCATATCAGATGTCAACATGCCTCTTTGTTTTAATTTAAAGGCTGATGCATTGGATTCTCGAACTAATCTCGCAGCAGCATAGCATGCTATTATTGGAGGAGACAAAGCGCACTCATTAGTTTTTGCTGAGATAGCATAATACAAAAAAACACTTAGAGAACCAGCCAAAAGATCTCCCTGACCACCGCATCGCCTTCCTGAACCAGCTAGTCCACATGATACGATATCGGTATCTTTGTGGCCATCCACTATTATATCCTTGGCTCCTTTATGCAAAATTGTTACAGTCTTTCCAAGAGCCTCTGCTACATGCTTGACATCAGAAGTTTTGACTAAAGAAGCAGGCGATGCTGTCTTGTCCAGCACTGCTTTAATCAAACGACTGAACTCTATTGCATTTGGAGTCAAAATAACTCCTGGATAGTCTTTAATAATTTCTGGCTTTTGACAGACTAAGAATAATGCATCTGCATCAATAATTAGAGGCTTTCTCATCTCACGGCAGATAGATATTAATTCAATAATAGTTTCGAATATCTTTTCATCTCTGCCAAGTCCAGGTCCAATCAAGATAACATGCAGTCGATCAAGCCAAGGTCTTATATGCTTTATCGCATCATACTGATCCAATACTGGATGAACTATTGGTTCTGGACTGAACGATTTGATAGGAATGCTAGCATCTTTTGTACAGAATATGTGAACAAGATCAGCACCAGTTCTTAGTGCACTCATGGCTGCAAAATAAGGTGCTCCTGTATATTCTGTGCTGCCACCAAAAATTCCAATTCTACCATCTTGACCTTTGTATTTTGTTGTATTTATTAAGTTCGGTATCACCTTGCGTATTTCCTTCATTAAATGCTCATCCATTGATGGTGTAGACATTGTAGACATTTGTATAAGTTTTTTTTTTATGTATCTGCTGTAGACAGAACAAATAATAAAATGCTATTTTTAAAAAATTGAAAAAAATCGAAAACATCTGCATTGGGTTACAAAATTGATATTTAATAAAACTTTAGATTCTTATAAACTAACTTTAAGCAATAAGTTTGTGCTATTTTTACATGTTTTAATTACCAGTAATGCAACAATTGCAATTATCTGTTTCTTTACATTTGGAAGAAATCAAACAAAATATGCAGCATTATAAAACAAAAATAAATAAAACTTTTGTTCAAAATACAAAAGAGTTTTCTTTCATAGCGCAAAACTTTCACAATGCGTGTGTGTATAACTACAAATTTTGTAACAATTTGACGAAAGTAAATAAAGAAACGCAACTACAGACAATCGAAATTCAAAATTCTACGTTTTCAGGTAATTGACATATCAATGTACCAAGAAATTGACAAGTCAGAGTCAGACGAATGTGAATACCTGATACAACCATAAAAACTCATGAAAGCGGCCATTTCATTGTAGTCTTTTTACAGCGAACTACAATCGAGTAAAGGCCCATCTATATAAAACGCAAACGCAGATCGCAAAAAGTGGGGGGTCGATTAGTGTGTAGTTACGCTGTAAATATTTTTGGACAATTGTCGGTGTTTTATATCACATTTTCGGTGTTTTACACCACTTTCTTATTATTATCTGTTAATTTAACAAATATACAACTCCGTGGCTTGGTGTCAGGAACCCAATCCACGGTTTTAGACCCGGTTTCACAATTCGCGGTTAACTCGAATTAACCGAAGTTCGACTTGCTGAGCTCGGTTTAACGCGTTCAATCTTCTTTGTCAAATCTTCGCTAACCAATCACAGTTCATGTTTAGGAAGAAAGATGCGTTACGCCGAGTTCAGCAAGTTGGGCTTCCGTTAATTCGAGTTAACCGTCAATTGTGAAACCGGGCCTTAACCTATCATCAAAAAGACGTAGAATGGCGTATGGACTAGCTTTGTAGGTCCACTGAGCCAAAAGAGCACCAAACAAAACCTAGGGGATCGATTCTGTATCACGCAAGGTTTGTTCGCATGCCCCAACATGCTTCTACTCGACCCAACGCGCCCTAACAGCGAATTCGGTAGCCTGCATTACTGCGCACTAAGTGCGACTTTTTTTTATTGAAAAAGCTTTGAAGTTTCATTAAAGTTTCATTGAAAAAAAGCGCGTTGGAGCGAATAGGAGCATGTTGGGGCATGCGACGCGAACAAACCTGCAGTGTAGTGAAAATTACAAAAGTGAGCGAATTCACTAAAATATCTATGATCTTATTGGTCAACACCTAGTAAATTGGCTCGCTTTTGTAATTTTCACTACTTTGCATGGATACAGAATCGACCCCAGGCTTGTTCTACAATACAGTCGTAAGCTGTAAGTCGTAAGAAATTGATCACAATCACAATCGATTATTCTTCTGTGATTTATCTGTGATTGCTCTATTTCTTGCAACTTACAGCTTACGACTGTATTGTAGAACAGGCCTCATCATTAAGGCCTGGTTTATGCGGGCAATAACTGTTAACTTATGCCGGAACCGGTAGAGTTTAACTATAGGATTCCAATACTTCTGGTTATACGCATTCGGCAATTTCGTATAAACAGAAGTATTAAAATCATATAGTTAAACTTTACCGGTTCCGGCATAAGTTAACAGTTATTGCTCGCATAAACCAGGCCTAATTGTCATGATACACATTAGGTTTGTTCGGGTCGCATGCTCCAATGTATACCACAGAGCACTTGGATCACTAATACGATGGCGGTTGAGGCAGATAAGTTCATGTGCGCTAACGTCCAGTGACACGAACGATCTGAGGCACTTCTCCT